GTGTCGTCACTACAGACACCTAAAGCTGCCCCACAGTGGCGGATCCATCCACGTCGCTGCTGAACGACCTTCCAGTCGCACCTCTAGTCAGCAATCTCACTTCTCTGAACTCAGTGCCGGCTGAGTGGCTCAGTTCACGATAAGCCCTGCCTTATCCCGTGCGCTTAGCGTAGTATGGGGAAGAGGGTGAGAATCGAAGAGGACAAAGGAGGAAAGGGGGTGAGACGGGCATCGTCCATGTGTAACCCCCCATACCCTGTCGTTTCCAGGCCGTCTGAGTCGTCTCGGCCGGGGATGAACATCGCATCCCATCCAAAGACCGCCAGAGTGTACGGAGTACATATGCAGCGTGAGATGTCAGTTGCAATACACGTGTACCGGTATCTTTACAGATACGTAGGCAACTACGCAAACAGGAAAGCACCCCAAAGTCTGGACGGTACATAACAGTTTTCTGCGCCTCGGCTTCGCCACCCCAATTACCTTTTGCCTGGAGGCAGGCGCAATGTCCGAACTGCTAGGTACTCCTGCGCATGGAAGCACATGCGAGGTACCGCGCTACGTACCTTTCCGTAGATTTCTGACAACCAGCCAGAGCAAGAAGGAAAGAGATTGACTTTCCCATAGGACCGTCCCTTATTATCCGTTCCAAAAAATTTCTCTTGTTACAAAACACGCCGAAGTCTTAGCAGAGAGGTGGTCCTCCCATCCCCAGTTTCATCCGACATCTTCTTTCGTTTCCTTTAATTCTTCCTCGTCTTGTCACTCTTCTCTTTGGCATGGAAGCCGGGTTCTGGCTTCGCTGGCGTTCCGGACCACTCGGATCGTCCCTTTTTGCCACGGCCTGCCCGATTTGACCTTGGTTCATTGAGATGCCGACCACTAGGTCCGACTCCATCTGGTTCTTTGTCCCGCCCCCAACGCCTCCCAGAGAGAGCGAGCGGATTGGCGAAAGGAGTCCTTGGAAGGCTGAGGTCGCTACATTTAGCCAGTGCTGAGACTGGCTGGCTGTCTAGACCAGGCTGCGAGGCATGCAAGAGGTCAGACCTCCGAGGCTGGACGGATCGATAATCTGCACTCCTGTCCTCCCGCATTCGACGGTGAACGTCGTCAATAATGTGCCCTTAGCTTCCAGATACTTGGAGTTGCGGATGATTCAATGCTATGGTACCACACATTTCGTCACCGCCCTTCTGGGATCAAAAGACGGTATCATTGGAAAGAACCTGCAACCCTCAAGCATTTTCGATGTGGGTTTCCCACGGGAGAGGCGCAAACAACCCGCTGCAGCCGTCAACCGTTCTCCCCCTCAACTTCGATGTCGTTGATATTGAGCTTCATAAGGTAGCTTCTGTTATCTGCTCTTATCGATACGTTCAGGCCACCAGCTCATCACGATTGATGGCGGGGTGATAAGCCGTTGATTGCGATTGCGGCGTTGCGCTCCCTTACCAACTCCACAAAATCGTGGGGCCCCCGTAGAATTTTCTCTCGATCCTTCACCAAGCCCGTCATTTCTTAGCCTGGGCAACGACCATCAAGACCACTGCAGGGGTCGCACGCCCTCCCGCTTTATTGACCGCCTGATGGCCTGGCTTTTGCTTGTGGTGGCAGATATATTCATACGGTTGTCAGTTTTGCGAGATATCTTTCACTTCAAACAACAGAGACCCGAACATTGGGCGTTGAAGCCTCGAAGGGTTTGATGGCTTTTCACATGTTTGAATGTTTACCCTTCTCCTGCAAAAACTTTTTTCTTTCAATCTGTCCCTGCAGCAAGGTACCTTATTTTGCAGATGCCTAACACCTCAGGCCAAAAGGACATTTGATGCCAATTTTTGCCGACCCGCTTTTACCATCGGCTTTTATTCGGATGCTATCACCGAACTGCCAATCCCCGATTGGCTCCCTCCAAGAGACCAATCTAGGTCCTGCGGTGACGTTATCGTCGCGAACTGCCCTCCATCCATGCGGCATGGCCGACAAAGTTTGGCGTCTGATGTCGCGGTGCAATCCGAAGACATCACAATTTTGAACTCTCGTGTCCTTTCTTGCGTATCCCTTTTTTGCTTTCATCGTATCTTCCGAGATGGTTAGGCCCGACCCGTCCTGGGCCAACGCAGTGATGACATCCCTCAATCACTGGTAAACAGCACTGGCGACGGTACGGCACTCCCGCTTTGATTGATCTAGACTGCTTACCTACTACTGTCATTACGTTGTTCCGGCCACGCGGTAGCGTCGTATAACGAGAGTCAGTAACCTTCTACTACCAAAACCGCAAGACGTCAACAACCTTACTGATACTTCGCGTTCGCAGTTCCGAAACCTGATGCCGACCCTGTCTTAAATCTCGATAACCGCCTCCCGTGACAATATTGCCGCCGAGCGACCAATGGCCCGCCTAGCAGCGGGCGCGTCATTGCCTTGACTGCCTTAGTTCTCCTGCAGCATATTATAGAGCTTACATCTGCGTTCACATGTTTGTCGTCGTTGAGAACGGGAATGCAATCTGCCCAGCAATTGCACACGAAGACCCCCATTCTCTGGCCCCCGAATCAGTTGCCACCGACCGATGCTTTGCAGCTAAATACTGAAGAGGATGGCAGACTTCCGCCCATGTTGTTCGGGTCCAGAAGTGGTGACTTGCTAGGCTCCGAGAGCATTGCACATGCTCACTATAACTAGATAAAGCACCCACGTGGCATTAGATTTTTCTGCGAGGAGATAGACACTATGATATAATAGGCTTCTCGCCGGTGATGCCGTTCAATGTCACTATCATGCCTTTGGGGGCCGAGGCTAAGAGATATGCCAAAACAAGGTAACATAAACGTCTGATGGACTAAAGATAGAGTCGGTGGCCCGCACAGATCCTGGTGACCTCTGTATATATGCCGTGACCGTTTCCTGACGTGGAGACAAGGGTCTACATGTTGCCCGTGTCTTCTAAGGTCCCATCTTCAGCAACCGGAAGTGAATAACTCAACTCCGGGCCGGCATCGCGGCCCCACCTCGCCGAGGAATGCCGAATCTTAACCTAGCCCCATCAGGCCGTGGCAAACGAGACTTCCATTATCGTTTCCAATAATGTCGTCTTGAGAAGATCGAGTCAGCGACGATGGCCCTTGGCCACTTTTGGAATTCACTTACTCAGATTGAAAGAACTCCAGCTATATCTGCCATAGCAATTTTCGCATTTGCATTTCAAAGTGAGCCCGTCGAGCTGACAGGTCCTTGCTGAGCAGCTATTCGCATATAGTCCTCTGGTTTTCGAAAATCGATGTCATTAGCTTTGAGCGAACACAATGTCTTGCCGCTTTGTAGCATGTGCTTTGCTGCCAGGCAGTGACTTACCTTGCGCGACCCTCAAGGTTGCCACAAGAATTTGCCAGGCAAAGGTTCAAGTTGAGATGGCCTATCTTCTCAAAGCCCAGGTGGTCACGGCAGGTTGCGTACAATAAGGTGAAGTAGCGCGGATTGATCGTGAACGAGTGACAGGTGGCTGAAGCTCCGCCCCGGAGGGATTCAAAGTCTTGAGGGGCGTTGTCGGTTGGAGGGACTTGGAGTTCTGTCGTGTTTGCGCTCCTGATTGCGATGCCTGCTGTAGCAGTCAAGGCGAGGGACATCGCTGCCGCGAACCGGATGATGTGAGCGACGCGCATCCTGAAGAAGAAGAAGAATGGAGCCTGAGTTTGTCGGCCAGATTTATGTTCTTAATAGAGAAGACCCTGAAGTCAAGAGAAGATGACATCTGGACTTCAACTATCCGTGGAGTGCCGAGTTCTTAAGTGTTGCCCGCCAACTGGTGGAGCCATGATCATGAGCCTCGTTTCGTGTGAGCAAACTAATCGTCGCCGGGATTGACGTCGCAATCTCGTGAACAGAGCTGATGGCAATTCTCATTCAATCTATTCACAGATCCGAATCGTTCAATTCCGCTCAGTTGCGGACCGGGGCATCCAGCTGGTCTAATTGGCACGCTGACCGCATTGAGGTTGATTGCAGGTCTTGGAAACAAACGTGCACGACAAATCGCACCACGCCGTGGTAGACACAATACGAAGTTGCTTCTCAGCCTACCTTGGGTACCGCTACAAGTCAACGTCGAAGAAGGATCTCCCTAGCTGCTGACCCAATATCGCCAGTTATTCGGACTTTACCCCATTTTAGAGTTCTTTGCGGGATATTCTGCCTCAAGAAATGAACCCGAGATGATAGTCGAGCAAGGATGGCCAAACCTGCTGTCAAAGTCGAATCCAGGATGTCGTATGTAGCCTGTCTCATCCTTCTCAACATCTGGCCCATGTCTTAGGTCTTCCGCTAGACGAATCTCACATGTTGGCCTCAGCCGATTGAACAGAGGTCTCTGCAATCATCGTGCCGCAGAGTCGTTGGTTCTCAATCATTGTTCCGTGGTCATGATTCATTCATCCAATCCGCATGTTTTAGTTACACAGTCAGATTGAACAAACAGAATGTTCATTGTAAGGCCCATGGTGGATCCTCGGTTTCTATCCCTTGGGGATTACACATGACTATGGTGCTGCTCCCAAAGGCACTGTCCATGGACAACGAATCTCTCCATTGTTTATAGAGGCCCCTCTTGCTTGGCGGTTTGACAGGGACGTTGCTAGGCAGCCGCTTGCACAAACTTTACTCAAGGGACCATTGATGAGGCGAGCCTTGACGCATTATCCTCGATCGACTCACGAGTTTTCCTGCCCTCGTCCGAGGAGTCCTGACAATATGTTGTTTTCGTTCTGAAACGATTTCCCCCAAACTGAAATGTCGAGGTCCAAGTTCAAACCACCTCAAATAATTCTACATCACTCAACATGACAAGAACTTGACGTGTCCCAGTCATTTCCGGATTCACTTTTGCTTCTTTCTCGTTTCCTCATTTCCTTGTCAGAACGCCAGGGGAAGCCGCAGCGAAAGGTCACACTTCCGCCAGCCGTACCTCTATTATCTTTCGAGTTGCGCGATCTGACGACACAATGGCTCGCGTTAGCTCCGGATCGAGCATCTGGGCGATAGAGCATCCCAACTGGGATACAACTAAGGAAGCCTTCGAGGATGACAAAACCCCAGTACCGAGACCGACCTCCCAGATAATAGACTGGCTTTTTTACAGCGAGACTACTCAGATGAGATACCTTGGGGGGCTACGTATGTCAGAACTCAGGGCTCTGCAAGACATTGATGCATATGGACCATCTTGCCGCGTTTCGGACGCGGCAGGTGCCATTCAAGACGAAGGCGATCCACGCGAGAAACTCTCCAATTTTATGGACGGCTTGACACTGTATCCGTACGTATCTTGGGCCGCCAGTGAGTTTGTCGAGGTGGACGAAACGAAGTGGTTCAAGATCTTCCGAAGGGAGAGATGGTCAAGCTACAAGCACCCCGACCCCAACGGGCTGTCGATCGATATCGACGACGACGCCACCTGGGCGAAGCTAAGCAGAGTCATCGAAATTGCAAATAGAATTCTGAAAGAAGCAGTCAGTCATGAATGGTATGTCTTCACCTTGCCCGTACCAGAAAACGCAGAGACCGAAGTCCTCCGGTGGGGGAAAGACTTGTAGCATCTCTACATTTCACTGACGCTTGATATCCGCTAGGTTGGCAAGTTTTCTAAAGGAGGATTCCCGTGAAGTTCGACGGGATGTCATGATAGGGTCCACACATCAAACCCCTCGGAAGGGTACCATCCTCCGCGTCAAGCCGGTCAGCCCTGAATCCCGCCTCAGTCCAACAGAAGCTCGAAAGGTTCTGGACGACATCGCCGACACTTTCTTTTGGGGATTCTATCTTCGAGATGAATGGCCTTCAGCTATTGGAACGACAACGAGGCTCCTTGATAAGAACGGGAGGCAGCTCAAGTGGATGTGTGTTGGTATCGAGTATTTCCAGCCGATATTCCAAAATATCATGTTCCAGGACCCTGAAGGCCGCCAGGCGACGTTTCTGGTGACCAAGACTGTGAGTTGGATCTCCATTCCAACCTTCCTCTGATGTTAATAGGTATTGACTAATTTCTGTTTTGGCTAGATACTGCATGAATTAATGGTAGTGTGCCGAGATCTTCTTCTGCCAAAGTAACTTCACTAAACACTGAGAATATAGCATGGTATATCTGGCCACATGCAGAGATCGTACCAAGAGAAGCATCCCAGAGAGCCCCTTTTTGCGACCGAAGTTGTAAGTACAAATTGACACTTCTATTGCGCAAGCTCTTGCTTATGTGGCCGCGAGTAAAGTTCTGGGACGAAGAAAGGTATACAGAGGCGGGCATTTCCTGGGAAATGTCATTTTTTGGATTTTCCTTGAAGGACGTCGTTGGCGGTCTCCAAAAGTCTCGTCATGGTCTCTTCGGCATACGTGCCCCTTGGCCAGCTTTCTGCATGTCAAACGTCGGTCACATGAATACCTACGACGGAGGGCCTCTCACGGAACCATTTCGGGAAAATCTGCCCGGCATACCTGCCATCGTTCTTTGCGCGATGACAACGTCCGACTTCTGGGAGACGCATGTGCCAAAATACGGATACAAGGCACTGAGATACAAGGGGGTCTGTGTTTCTGAACGGCTTTGGGAGAGCCATTATCAAGACGCCGCGCGAACCTCACGAGCCAAGATTCTTGACCCACCTTATTCGGAATACGGCCGCCTTGATCATAGTATGAAAATGATTGCTCAGCGCTTGAGGTTAAGACGATTGGATCTCCGAAGACTGAGGCCATGGTTCAAGGAAGAATACACCAAATGGGATGCTACGGTATATGCCGAGACTCAACTGCGATACAAATTGATCGACATTGGGTTTTCGTCTAAATCCCATCACGACACACACGAATCTGATATTCGGCACGAGATTAAGAGCCTCTTGTGGCCATATGACCATTGTCAAGATGTCGCCAAATTCAGAATTGTACACAAAACGTCACATAGGTTCCTCTACCACGCCTATGCATATCTGTGGTTGGCAACGCTGCCCGTCAGGAAGAAGCCTACGCCATCCACTCGTCCGACCTCAAGGCCACTGCATCCCGAAAGACTGAGCATACCCAAAGCTGCTGGAGGCCAGGAGCTCATTGACCTTGCTACTGGTCAAAGGAAAATAACATCAGTAGCGACGGGCACGTACCTACACAACTCCTATACCCCAAGCCACGACAAAGAGCTGTGCATGGAAAACGCCAAACTGTCGTTTTTACGATGGAAAGTTTACGGAAACGTGTCACATGAGGTCGCTAAAGGTTTCGAGCGTGACTGGCGTGATATAAGGAGAATGATGGATCAATCTCCCTATGACCATGGGTGGTTAACTTACAATTACAGAGACTTGCCCCCTTTCGTCAATCACGAGATACGTTACCCTATCGTAGCATCGCAGGGTCAAAGAATCGTCTCGAACATAATTGACCTTGACGACGCCGATCTTCCATTGTGGGCAGTCGCGAGACCAGTGATCGCTCAGGCGCCAGTCCCGTCGCGAGGCAAGTCTGCTGAGATCACCCCTCCGCTTCGCCACTACCATGTAGGCGAGATTGGTGATCACCAACGCGTCGGCAGCGGAGTCAAGTGGTTTGTCCACAAAACCGACGGTGATGACAGGCATTTGATCTACGACTTCAGTGGGATATTGTCGTCGGAACATGGGTGGGATGATGCGACTCGAGAGCAGCTGACAATGAGGCCAGGTCCCTCCAGTACCATCCTAAACAGAGTGCTTCGCACGGGAAACATGAACGAGCAGACCCGCGAATTGTGTTTGCAAAATGGGCCTATTGGACAAGTGATGCGGTTTATGCGCACGGAGAATATCAGACTGGCTGACAACAGAGACCCCTTATCATGTGTAGCCTTTGGTAACCACGTGTTTGATCTGACAAGGGATCTGAAAGGTAAGTTTATTCCTGGCTTGGAATTCTCGAGACTTGCTCATAGGCTTATACGCTGATTTTTAAGACTTCCAATTGCCACAACATATGCATCCTTTACTGGTGATTATCAAGTCAAAACGACAGGGGAATCCTCTCTTCAACGCAGTTCGTGCAGGATTTAATCCGGATGTTATTGTCGACTTCCTTCGGCCTTATCAGATTGGAATCAGGACGCAAGAACTTGAGAGGCACAGCATGTTTCGATACCGCCATTTCACGTTGAACGAAGTCAAGTGGCACGTTTACCCAGAGACAGGCATCTATACCGTCTTCCAAGGGGATACGGTAATCGATCTTACAGGTAAGTTCAGTACAGGTTCAAAGACTCAGGTCAAGCACTCAGTGCTGATCAAGTAGACTTCATGAAACTTCATCCTGGTGGTATGGAGATTCTGCAAAGCGTCGCCGGAAAAGACTGTACACGGGAATTTGAGCAGTACCATCAAGTTCCGACGGGTTTCCTTGGTGTTACTACCCATGTCTATTTCGAAAGGCTGCAGGTTGGTCAGATTGTCCCTGAGCAAAGCCCAGGCGTCATATCTCCGGATCAAATTGTAATCCGAAATCAAGTCTTCAGCCGAAAGGGTGAGCATAGAAAACGGTTCCAGACTGAAGATGAAATTCATACTGACACTAGTCGCTTAGCGGATCTTTCAAGGTGGTCAGGTACCGACTTAGACGGGTTACGGAGTCTCCTGGCATCCGAAGAACTTGAAGAATACTGGGGAAAGGATGTGACGGCCCAGATGGACACAGCAAGCCCGCCACGAATACTTTGCACATTATTTGATACAAAGCGGCTTGTTGTCGCCAAGGTTGTCGCGCCAATAGACGCACTGCCTTTCATGGACGATCAAATGTTGGCGCGCATGGACGGCAAAGTTGAGCCTTGGGGCTTCCATGAATCTTATGTTTCTGATGGCAAGTACATATACAACTTGACTTGTGAGTAGTTCCGTCGGCAATAATTGTCTGCGAGAGTGACTAAACTCCACCAGCGTACCTCAGATACGGAAAACCTGGCGGGTACAATGAGCTTTTGAAAGCTCGTGCCGGAACAACGCTCTCACACTCATTACAAGACCAAGAACTGAAGCGATGGCTGTGGTCAGACTTCCAATATCGAATTATAGCACAGCATGGTCCGAATCAAAATAATGCTGATTTCGATTGGAAAAGGTCTTTCAGGCCGATTCCCGAAGAGATGCCTGATTTCACAGGTGGTGGAACTTCGAAAGTCACACCTGCTATGTCGTTTGCTCAAGCTGCTGAAAAGGGCAATGCGAGTAGTGCTTCAGACCAGATTATCCAACCAATCCAGAGCTTGGCCGGCACGAAACGCAAGCGGAATGGGAAGCTTATGTTACAGAAAAAGAGCATCAAGGCTGTTGATACAAGCCGATTTGCACTGCCAGAACAAGTAGCTGCAGGCGTGAAACGGAAGAGCTCGCCGACTCCGGTCCGGCCGTACAAGAAGGTAGTCAAAGAATCTCGTGGCTCTGCTGGTGGTCCTTCGTCTAGGATTGAAGGCTCAAGCGAAACAGGTTCAAGAGGAACAGAGAAGCCGAGGCAAGAATGGGAGTGGAAGGACTTGTACATGTATCGATGATGATGGCAAGGACGCGTGTATCAGATTGAGGCCGGATTGATGAGGGAACAGAACTGATTGGAATGATGACGCGGTAAAAGGTTGCTGATCGTGTGTTCGAGATTTCATGACGCATCTTTGTGTTCGAACTTAAGGTAGTCCATCTTCCAGACATTTTTTGCCCGCATCAAAGCCGGACAGTCATGATCCCCGCCTTCACGAGAAGTGTCAAAATCCGCCACGTCAGAATACGGTGCCGAATTCCAACGCCTCTTCAAACGACCAACGCGTGACATGGGCATTGCTGGGATGTTCTGAGAGCACTAAAGAGAAGCTATATCATGTTCAATATCTTTCATGAGGTTGAGAACCAGGCCTTGGCCGTACCAGACCCGTGGTCTCAGTAGATAGTTCCTTTTCCACTCTGAGGTTTATGCGTCTCGCAAGTCAGTTCCGGCTACCATGCCCATGATCCCTTCATGACACATCTGAAATGATCCGAAGTATTTGCAATTCATTGTTCTGGAAACGTAGCAAAAATACGCAGTGCCATTTCGCTGAATCCGGAAAGGGACCAGGACCCGTTCCACGCATCCCATCGGCGGGACACAAAGGAACAGGAAGCCCACGTTGACCCCTTGCCGAAAGATTCATTGAACAGTTCTTTTGCGTCCAAGACCAAGGTATTATGACCCCTTGGCTTTCTGCTCGTCTTTTTTCAGTTACAATGCTGAGCGTGATCCAAAATTGTACCGCTCAACTGTTTTCAGTCATTTGAGAGGAGTTTGTGTTTCTCGCTCGTCTTTCCATTCTAATCCGATCTACCAAAAGACTTGAGCTCTATTCTGGGTTGCAAGGCTCTCACTCAACCGCTCAACTTACTTTTCCACTACCTGTTCAGTACTCGAATCTGTCTTGAACTCAGACGCAGACTGGTCTCCGGCATCACTCATTCTGTCGCAGACTGAACATCCCCAGAATGTCTGACTCTTCAGGAAGTCGCTGGGAAAGGTATTATGGCGTTGGCGAGACACACCCGCTGCGACGGAATGGCCGATCATGGATGGACCCAATCTTCCCATCTATTGACCCGCAGACACTCGAGATCATTGAACCGCACTCCGAAATGATTCCACAACCGTCTCCTCCCGAGCTGGATGATCTCCTCCTGTCGGAGCGCCAGCAACTTTCAAGGTTCTCGGGGTTGCGAACCTGGGAAGCTGCGGTACTGGCAAAGACGGAAGCCTATACTGCAACGGGCGAGGGGCAAGTCCTGATTAAAAACGAAATTCAAGTAGACGAGTCGTCTTGGCTGCCTGTTTGGTCAAGAGACCGTTGGATGATTGACTTCACTGCGCCTCCCAGTTCGTCCACCAATTGGTCTGGATCGCGTCTCTGGAGCGCGCACGATCCGATCATCTGGGGTGTTCTTAGAAAGGCGATACAAATTGCTGATAACATCGTACGGAGATCCCTCGAAGGAGACTGGTAATCATGAATTCCCAAAAGACTTGACATCATACTGTAGACAAGAGCAAGGTATGGCGTGAATCAAGACAGAGCTAACATTGTGCGTTTCATTTCAGGCTACAATCTCTGCTCATCCCGGAAAACCTTGAGAGTCATGAAACGACACTTCTGTCAGGTTCGAGTAAGGTCGGTAAAATCTGGAGAATGAAATCATCTCCCGTCATTCGCAAACCTGCGGAAGAATTGATCCAACTGCTGTCCTCCCCTTCCCTTTTGAAAAGAATATTTTGGACTTTCAACGACAAAACAACCTTGAACTCATATCAGCCGGACGGAATCATCAAGGGATTGACAGCGCCATACGATTTATCGGAAGGGCCAATCACGATATTCGTCAACATTTCTGGGATAAAGACGCTTTTAGATGCAAACGTCACTCAATCTTCCAAGAGTGCGGCGCTGGTGTGTCTTGCAGACACTGTCAGTCTGCGACCTCGCGAGTCTCCTAATTGCTATTTACTAATGCGCTCCTTTTAACAGCTATTTCACGAACTCATGGTAAGCCCTCACCGATTTTGGGTGTTTTTTCTGAAGAGACCTGTATCGAAATCGACTAACGCTGGGACACCCTCGTTATAGCATGTGATCGGCTTTCAGAATTTAAGCAGTGAGGTCCTGCAACAAAAACTAGGAGTCCCGCTTCACGGTTTTGAGATCGTAAGTAACCTGAACATTCTACTTGCTAGATCTGCTGATAAGAATGATTTTTGCCAGTTCGGCCCACAGGAACACCAATGCGAGCTCGGGTGGTCATTTGAACAACATGCATTTGGAGGCACTGTGTTTGGACTTGTCCCCAAACGCGATAGAAACTTGCTCAGCATAAACTATGCGCCATTGATTCTATCCATCAACAGGTTTCCCCATGTATCTGATCCTACACTTACCTATGACTTTCTTTTGGATAGCCCCACCATCAAAACGAGTTGGCCTCTGCCATCGCTTTGGCATACTTCCCTTTCTTCCGAGGCTTTCTGGACTCAAATCGTTTCCAAGTATGGTTATCCGAGCCTGAAGGCACCCAAAATGCTCGAGGTCACGCAAGAGTACGGGAACCAAGGCTTTGACGCACCTTGGTTTTGGCCCATCGAAAAGTCGGCTTGGTTCAAGGAAGACTTCGTCCCTCAAAACTTTCAGGCCGATGAGCTCAAGATGTCAGCGAGGAGTTTGCACAGCCGGCGGCTCAAGTATCAGAGAATGCGTCCGTGGTTCAAAGACACATTCGCAATGTGGCAGATGACGCCTTACAGCCAGGTCGACCCTCGGCACAGACTATCATGTCTAACAATTTCGCTAGTTCGCAGGAACCAACGTGACGAATTTGACACAGATCGTCTAGCCGGTTTCTTGATTTACCCGCTATGCGTGGGCTATAACCAATACGGCGTACTCGACTATGCAGTTCGTCATCGAGACTTTCAAGCTCGCATTCATGATGAGAATACGACGCAGTGGTTCTGGCGGGCCATAGGGTTTCTCTTGCTAGCCTCGCTGCCTGTACGAGTAGAGGAAGTCGTACCGGCGAAACAGCCAAAACGTCTGCTATCGAACCCTTGGACTACCACCCAAAGTCTCCCGCTCAGCCAGTCAACAAAAGACGCTATCCAGGCACAGGTCGAGACAGCAAGTGCGGAACGATGGTTCTACCCGACGTTCAAGTTACGAAGGCGACACTTGCAAGATCCCAACGACCCATATTTGGCACGCAGCGATCGCCACAGTAACATTGATCTAGCAGAGACCGCATTCAATACATACACGTCACTCTGCATAGAGCCAGCCGGTTTGCGAGACGCCTTTGTAGCCGAATGTTCAAGCTTAAGAGCCCAACTGGATGCCGACTTTGCAAACGGCTACACCTCGTGGCTTGACTTCCGTTTTCAAGTGCCTCAATACCCTGGGCAAACGTACGATCGTAGGACACTTTCACTATTGGACTTTCATCGGTCAGGTGCGAATCCTGGAAACTCTCCAGACAAGGACAGTGGAGACAGAGCTACCGAGATATTCCACGGAGAAGACCCGGCAAAATACCCCTCGATAGACTTGCCGGCTTTTGCGAAGGCTGGCATTGTCACTGTACCTTCAAAGCCGGGTGAGAGCCATCAGCGATATCAACTACCATACTACACAGTGGCTGAGTTGTACGATCACGCAAAAGTACTCGGAGATGAGCTGATTCTGGTCGAGAATGGGCATCACCTGGATGTTCACAAATGTTCTGCCATCTGTCGATCGCTTGAGCTTGATGAGGACGAACTGCCCGAGTTCACCAAGCCCACTTTCTACGGCACCCAGTTGACTGATTACGGAGTAGGATGTCTCTACGAAGCTGACATCCCTTCCTTGCCCTTGGGGCGAGTGGTTCGCGTCTTGCGGGAAGATGACATTGCTCAGTGTGATGGAACCGGTGGGGACCCGTTATGGATCCGCATACACAACAGCGTTTTTGATATTACTCGTACGTAGTATTGGAGACATAACGTACATTGATCACCCGCTGACATCAGACAGACTTGAAGTGCTTATCAGAGCCGGCACTACGGAGGCTCTTGGCGAGTAACCCAGGTGGAGACCCATCCCTTGAATTACTACAAGATGGGTATTCTCTTGACGAGATCAAGAAGTCTCTTGCACCGTGGCGAATTGGCATGACGGCCAAAACTCCAGGCGTAGTTGCCGACAAGCATTCCGTCAGAACCTTCACGCCCCAATCGCTCAGACGACATGAATTCAGAGAGACAGGGATGTACGTTGCGATTGAAAACAAGGTTTACAACATCACCGGTAAGTAAATAGATAGCCAAGGCTGAAGAACTAAGAGGGTAATGACTGATCGCATGGAAGACTATGCCGAAACACATCCAGGAGGGCTCCAGTGTTTGGTCGAGAATGGTGGACGAGATATTACAGATCTCTTCAACAAATATCATCAAACGAACCGCGACCGGGTGCTCAAAGGTCTGCAGGAGTTGTATATCGGCAATCTGATCGAACAGCGACAAGAATATGCAGATGATAATGTGGAAAGTCTTGCCAATGACAGACCTGTGCTTCCACATGAAATCAGATTCGGCAGGGAGGTTTACTCGGTGGAAGGTGAGCTTGAATGATACCGTTACGAAATCAGGCTTTTGAAAATATGCTGACTTCCTGATGGTAAAGCTCTCAAAGACTCAGAGGAGCATGAAAAGTTCCCCGACCTTGCAGACGCTCTTTCTCCCTACCTCGGACTCGACGCCACTGAAGCTCTACAAGCAGAAGAGTATGAGGACGGGCCTCTCATGCGCTTTGCTTGTCTCAGGGGCTACATTGTAGCAACAGTTGAGGACATAGGCTACGGCCTTCCAGAAATCGAGCCAGAGGAGCTCAGAATGTTTGATGGACATACCGACGGAGGCCGTGATATTCAATACGACGCATTCGTGGCTTCAGATGGCTTCGTCTACGATTTGACGGGTGAGGATAATTCATACTTTCCCTATTTTTAAGTCTACCTCACAAGTTGCTAACTCGTGGAAACCAAGCTGCGATGCTTTACGGATCTTGTAACCCAGTTTACTCCAAGTTCAAACCCTTCCTCGGAGGTATCGTAGCGGATGAGGAGTTGAGGGCGTACTTGGACACCCATTGCGAAAATCTTATCTGTGCTGTTTTAGTCCAGGAAAAGAACGAAGAGGATGGGAGGCGCATTATCAACTGGGACCCAAGGAAAAAGGTTGCTCGTGAGTAGAGTCGAGTCTTACAATCAGTTTGGGTGAGATGTGATTGATTCCTTTTGTAGCCCGGTATAAGATGCCTATCTGGGCCAACCGCCCTCGAAAGGTTCCGAAACCACCGGCAGAGGATGAGATTGCTCCTCACATCGACACCATAGAAAAGGCCAAAGAAGTTGCAAGAGAGGAGCATTTCGAGAAGAGGGAAGTATTCGAGCCCACTCCGACGGCAACCTTTCTTCAAAACATGATTAATCAACTTGACGAGGTCAATCAGCCCAGCTTCGCTACGAAGCTCGAGGACGAAGAATCTCGAATCAGCTGTAACAGCAACACGAAAGGCAAGGAACCGGAGAGTAAGGCCAGCGGTTCAAAGACGCGGCAATTGAGCAGAATGGAGGGGGATCTCAGACGTCGCAAGGACGAGAAGGTCATGAGGGAGATAGCCAGGACATGGCAAGAGGTGATTGCCTCAGATGAATCAACCTTACCGGTTGCCTACCCGACTCAGAAAAGCGCCAAGCACACAATTGGTGGTGAGCTTCAAGAGAAAGAATCAGAGGAAGGAGAATGTAGCACCCAACAAGACGCCGCTCCGCCCGATATGTCGAGGAGAGCACTCGAGGTCACCAAGAAGCGCAAGCCTGTGTTCGAGATCGATGAGGGCCCTCCGAAGAAACGACGATAGATACTGCTTTGTATTCACATACCAAGCTTGCTTTAGTTTCTGACATTGCCGATATCTCAAGTATCCCTGGGTTTTTCTTGTTGGCGCCGAAATGGTTTGGTTGTTTCCCTCGTTGATGGAGTCTCAAATAACTATTTTCATTGCGCTCGGATGGTTGTGTACTTTATGATAAGGTTTCTTATATAACCACCAGTCTAGGAGAGCTGAATTCTTCGCACTCAGTTTTCGTGACAATGTTCACGTGTTGAACTTGAATGCTGAAAAGACAGCTCCGCAGCAAATCAGCCACGGACTCGGCCGAGATCCCCTTACTCCACTCCGGCCAGCGCAAGCATCGGCCTAGTCTGAATGGTGTCTAGTGATGACAAACCATGACGTGATGGAGTAGCGTTGTCGTTCTATTCGAGGTCCAATACCGACATGGACATTGGGGCCTTTCATTCTTGGGGATTACACATACTCTCAACAACATCGTCCCAATTGCAATAATTGCACTTATAGAACTCAGCTGCACCATGTCTTTCATGCAGGAGCTCACGTCATGGATGTCCCCAACATCGTTGACCCTGTCCAGCCCACCAAAAGCGGGCGACGCGGCCCCGAGCACCGACCAGCTCACATTGCCCAGGGATGGTGGTAAACCCGCTGTAATCGCTTTCCTGCGGCACTGTGGATGCCCATGTTAGTCAATGACCCAAACGATGGAGGGGGGTTTCGTTCTATAGGATCGTCAGTGAGACTTACATACCTCACCCGCCAGTCGCCGAGAAGACCTTCATCACGCTCCGCGAAGCAGCATCGAAGCATCCCGAAATCGACTTCATCGCCGTCTCTCACTCGTCAGAGTCGCACACACAGAAATGGCTGTCCGAGGTCGGCGGACCCGGCGATAAGAACCCGGTCCAAGTCATCGCCAACGAAGAGCGCGACGTGTACGCCAGATGGGGACTCGGCGCATCGAGTTTCTGGCACGTACTGAGTCCCTGGGCGCTTTCGGATGTGTTCAAGCTCTCTCGTGAAGAGGGAATCGCCAACAGGCCCACTGAGAGCGGCAACAGATGGCAGACTTCCGGAGCGTGGGCTGTTGATGGGAAGGGCCAGGTTACGTGGGGCGGTGCCGCCACGACTGCCTCTGAGATTCCCGACGTTGAAAAGGCCATCGAAACTCTGAAGTAGTGTATGTTCTAATTGGTATTATTCATTTTTTGTCACATTAAATCCGACTTTCGGCAGCTCCAGCGGACCAGCCCTGAACCAAACCGACAAACTTTTCAACCTCTGTTGCTTCCGTCGCCCACGTCGTGAGCAATCTCACCACAGCCTCATCATCACCTCGCTTCTCCCAAACGTAAAAGATGAAATGCTCTTGCAAAACCTTGATCAAGCTCATGGGCAGCACCGCAAACACCTGGTTCGTCTCCGTCACTGCGTGAACCGAGAACCCGGCCGCTGCGATACCGCTGGACAACGTCTCGGCGCAGTAATTAGCTATCCGCGCGAGGTCAAAGTAGAGGTCTTCTCTGAAAAGCTCTGCAAACTGCGCGCCCATGATTCTGCTCTTGGCTAGCAACGAACCATGCTGCTTGACGTAGAACTCAAACTCGGTCGCTAGACGAGCGTCCTTGACGACCACAGCTTCTCCAAGCAACGCTCCGTTCTTTGTGCCCCCGATCCAGAAGATGTCTGTCAGCTCCAGGATATCGTGGAGCGTCATGTCGTTTGATTTGGACGCCAATGCCGTACCGATGCGTGCGCCGTCGAGGAAGAGTATGAGCTGATTTTGTTCGCAAACCTGCTTGATTGCAGCAAGTTCATCTCTCTTGTATATCGTCCCAATCTCTGTCGCATTGGAGATGTACACCAACCTCGGCTTTGCCATGTGGGGGAAATGCCAGTTCTCGTCCACCGCGCGTTGAATGCTCTGGGGTGTCAACTTGCCATTGATAGGCGCGACGTTGATAATTTTGTGCCCACTGGCTTCCACCGCACCAGTCTCTCTTGTGACAATGTGTCCCGAGCTTGCGGCAATGGCAGCTTCATGGGGTCTCAAACATGCCGCGATGGATATGGCATTGGCTGATGTCCCGCTGGGGACGAAGAAGATTCCAACATCATCGCGGCCCAAGTGCCGACGTATCCGTTGCCTGGCAAGATCGCAGTATGAATCGCCTCCGTAGCCAGCTTCTTGAGAGGTGTTGCCGGCGAGAATGGCCTTGAGCAGGGCCGGGTGAGCTCCTTCGCTGTAATCGTCCAAGAAGCTGTAGCGAGCAGTCGCCGTGGGAGCGGGGAATTGTGAAGGCATGTTATGCTGTATGTAGGCGATGAGACGAAAAACGAAAACGATATTCAAATGAGTCACTGGAATCATGAGAACCTGATCCAGTTTCCCGGTAATTCTATATAGAATTCCCCATCCCCACCGCGAAGCCCACCGAAGCTTTCAGACGATGACAAAATCCGAGCGTTAGTAAGTGGAACGTTAGTCAACGATAGTCAGTGCGATCGCGGTGGGTCAGCGCTCAACAAAAAAAAACAAAGCGTTATCAGACTTTCCCGAAACTACGGATGTCATGGTCCTTGAGATTGCCTGCAAGACTTGACGGTTACATGCGGCGTGACAACGGATAGGTGCGGGTTGACAGTCCGGGGTTCCGGTGTTCGGGAAAGCATGAAGTGTTTGGTTAACCGTGCAGTGCAGTACAATGCGGGGGAAGAGGTGGCCCAAGACACACATCACGAGGCCGTCGTTGAGGAGATGGTGCTGGTGGCATCCATGGAAAAGTCTATGAAACTCCGGTAGGTCTCAACCATGGAGTCGTCGAGGGGTTTCGGGTACGTAAGAACCTTTTGCGATCTTGGCTTGAGAGGTACCCCGTTTGCTGTGAGGTCGTTTGACTGGTCGTAGAGTTCCGGATATTTGGCGTAAAAGGCTGGGTCGATCTTGTAGTACGATGCACCTTTATCCATGTTCAACAGCTTGAACGCTGCGCGAGCATGAGACGGAGACGAGAAGAGAGTGGTGATATCCGGGGCGGGGAGACTGGCTGGGGTATCGTTGTTGCCGGCACCGGATGACAATGACATGGCTGCGATAAGGTCCGTCACCCGGACGTAAACTGTAATTTGAGGCGCGTCGCTTATCAACTCGGACATGACCGCTTCCACCACGTATCCCGAGACGGCGTCGCAAAAGATTTGGTCGATAAGAGGATTGGCGGCGTGGAGCTCTATCAATCGGTCCCGGATCGAGGGGAAGGGTATCCAGTCTATCACGCGCGGGTGCGGGTGCTTCAGTTGCGTGTCGGTAGGCCGATACCGCTGGTGTAACTTTTGGAATGTTGCGCGCGAGGGGTAGAGTTGCCAGGCCGTAAGCTCGATGATGTGGAAAAAGCGCGTTTTGGCGTACCATGCCATGACATCCGGTCGCGTCATGCTGTTAAACATAGACAAGACCATGAGAACTGGTTGATATATGCTGAACATAGGTGTCAGTCTTGCGACCTTGTGGCATAAGGTCTACTCACCTTTGCATCGACGGTTGGCTATCCGGATCGAAGCCATTTGCCGCCAGCTTGCTCTTCAGAAGATGCTGGAGGAGCTTGATGTGGTCCGAGAACGGCGAATTTGATATCGGCATGTCTTTTCTCAGTGCCATGCTCGACTCCTGAGATGCAGCCATGGCAGTCAGGTACGGCTCTATCCCAGTTTGGTACTCGAAGCTCCAGATGTTGGGAATCTGGGTATAGAGGGGACTGGTTCCGGTAACATTGATTAGCTCCGATGATAGAAATGCATCCTCAGATTGACCTGGAGTACCGTCAGTTGCTGATCGATGAATTTCAAGATCTTGAATCGCTTACCTGGACCAGGATGATGGGCAAGCGGCGGGTCAAAGTTCAGTGACGATGTGTCGAAAGGTTCCAATTGCATAGATGGTCCTGGAAAAGGAGGCCCTTCATCATAAGTCTGCTTCTTGTCGTATGTTGAGAGCTGTGACGCATGATCTTCTGTCTCCTCAAAAACTTTACTGCCCTGAGATCCCGTGTCGTTCAAAGTCTTTGACACAGAGTCGCTCAAACCCTGAATGTTGGCAAGCAGTCGCGACATCCTTGCTTGAACATCGACGAGTTGCGCCCGCAACTGCCTGTTCTCACGCTGGAGATCCTCGATCCGCTCATTGTCAGACTTCTGGTCGGTGTTCACTCTGCTACTAAGCTCTCTCATACGCTCCGCTTGCCTGCGACGGAAAGCCTGCTGTGACAATCTGTTGCGCAGTCGTCTTAGGTTGATGCAACCCCTCGTTAGCGATTTTCGTTGGGGGTAACGGGGTGGGTGCTGGCGTCCACCACCTAACTTCACCTACTTTCGTTCTTGTTCACTCATTGAAGAGCTCTTATCTTCCTCGTGGGAAGTGTTCCTGGAGGGCGGCATCATGCGCAGATTGCTGAGTGACTCAAAGCTCTCAACTCCATTCTTCAGTTGGGAGTTTGTAGGAGGAAAGTCGCAGACTCATTTCTGTCGCACACTAGACGATCAGGTACCTTACTGGCGCCGTGGAGACCTGCTGTCGGCCCCACCACCGAATGCTCCGTGCCGGGAATGCCGTCACGGTGGCACGGTGAGCTTGCTCTTCGGGCGCGATCGGGACTCCTTATGGTTAAAGGGCTAGTTGCATCGATTTGGATAGGTTTTCAAATGCTATATTTTTATGTAGGTCTCCCCAGTCGTGTCGGGACTCGGTAAAAGACACGAGATGTTGTCCGCCAAAGCTAGCGAATCCAGACAAATAAAGGAGAATATTACATGTCTTTCCGCGAAGCATGTCCTGAGATCTACCAAAGCATTGATCATGCCTCTAACGGAACAGTGACGCGGTCAAACCAGACAAGCGGCGCATCGCCCCCCTCCAACCTCAGCCCGACACCAATTTGCGAGACCTTGCCAAGAATATCGACTTTGAACTCAACGGGTACGCATAGTATCGGGATGCCAACTGTCTGTGCCTTCTTTCCTCCCATGTATCCTCGACCAAGCCAATGATTGCCAGACATTGGCTCGAGGTATATCATCGGTGCAAGGTGCGCAAACGCCTCCCCTCCCATTCCGAGAACACGAAGCTCGCATATCTCAACGAAATCCAAACAATCCAAGACTACCTCGAGAGTGCCATACCCAGTGTTATGAAATTCCCCGACGTGATCTGGGATGGGCAATGTTGGTAACAAAGGCGGGGTCGGAAGCGAAGGGTACAGCTCGCTTGCGCAAGTCCGCAAATATTCCAGCTCAGCCTTCTTCCTGTCTTTGTACCTTTCTTTCATCAGACCTCCGAATAACCAAAGACCTTGGAGGAAACTTACTGTTCGTTCATATCCGGTCTCTTGTATTTAGGAATTCCTAAGTGTTCCGAGAGAATATGGGTCGCAATCACCTGCGGAGCCTTGACATCCGTATTAGTGAAGACAACCACGCCTATTTGCTGCGAGGGTATCATCATCATCATCGAGATAAACATGTTGACTCCACCAGTGTGGAAATACACCTGCTCGCCCCCCAAGATGGCGGTGTTCCACCCCAAGGCATAGCTCACAGGCCCAGTAAACGGTGCCATCGCAGGAGCCACCAAAGTGCGCGGCGTCTTCACCTCTCGATGTCCCGCCTTGGAGATCGGCGCAGACTCAGTCATCATGATGCGCAGGTACTTGGCATAGTCGAGGACGTTTGAAATGATGGAACCTGCGCCTTCTTCGCCAGAAGAAGGTTCGTGCGGTAGTTGCAGGTAGCTTCCGTCATCTGGATCGTAGTAGTACTCCTTAGCGAGAACCAAGCCACTTCTTTCGGCATCTTTCAGAGAGAAATACGTCTCGTTCATGCCCATAGGCTCCCACAAGTACTCCCGGAAGAAATCGCCCAGCCATGACCCAGTCAGGACCTCGATGAGATAGCCCATAGCCCCGAACATCTTGTTGTTGTACAAGAAGGTCGTGCGTGGTTCCGCAGCCATTGGTAGATGCCTTAACAGGCGGGTAGTTCCCTGGGCCGTGGTGGCTGGTGCTAAATCATGGGAAGGGTAGCCTGTCCGATGGCTCATAGCGTCCTCGAGAGTGATGTGAGCCGTAGCCCACTCATCGCTGAGAACAAAGTCATCGCGGAGAATGTGGGACACCGGTGTCTTCCAATTGAGTCCAGGGTACACTGACGAGGTCGCGCTCGCATTGTCGATGAGGAGGGAGATACCGGCGGCAGTGAAGGACTTGGTGGTACTGCCGGTGTAGTAAAGCGTGTGTGGAGTGACGGGTGTAGAATTGAGAACGGCGTAGCCATAACCCTAAGAACATCAGTTCACCATTGCCAATTTTGAAGTGTTGTCAACTCTTGCGCTCGAGACCACGCGAAGTTGAAACGGGGTGGGGGGGGGCGATCTTTACCTTTGCCCAAGTGTTGTTCCCGTCGACAATTGCAACGGCTAGACCTGGGGCATGCCACTCCTCCCGAATTCGCTCAATGAATTCGTCGAGATCCTTTGACACTACGCGAGGCACATCTCCGATAGCTTGGTACTCATCGTGGAGGGGGCGCTGTGCTATGTCTTGTCCCAAGGCTTGGGTTGCCCATAGGGCCGCGATTGGAAATCGGAAATGCTTCATCTCAGTCAGTGCATCGCATTCAGTAAGAATGAAGGTGTGATTAAAGGGTTGAAAATGCCACGAAGCTGGGTTGCGACTTAAGTATGAGAGCCAAACAGATGCCGTAAGCCCCTGTATGTAAGCCCGGAAGAAAGTCCCCTCACCAGGCGTCTAGCTACGCCGTAAGATATGTCTCGGGACCAATACTTGGTGCGGACTTCCCATTGCCTCTTTAGGAAGGTGGTTCACCACATTGACTTCATTGAAGAGGTGAGGCCTCAGCGACGTCGACACTGAGTCACCAGACTCATCAATGGCAATCCATGTCTAGACCGGGGAACGGAAGCTTATGCACCAGACACAAAAAGATTGAAAGAGAACGAAACAATGGCAAAAATTGGGACAAAACATGGAATCAGGTTTGTCATCGTATAGATGAGGGCTTTCAGTCACTCTGGAAACAAAGCCGTTCATTGTTGGCGTCCTCGGCCACCCCTCGACTTTCTCGAGATAATGTCGTTGTCCTGAGGATCTTTTTGTTCCGAAGTCTTTCTTTATATCAGAGCCCTTTGATAACCATGAGACCACACTGAACCATCTCGGCACCGCGAGAATTGATTAATTTAAGTGCACTCACCATGCAGTCATATTACGAGTTTAGAGAAGTCATCAGACTCATCTACAACGCATCAACTCCCGACAAAACAAGTTCAAAAACTTACGCGAGAAGAAAACCCACCGAAAGACCAGACCGAAACACCAATTTCCAGAACCTTACTCTCCCCTCCAAAGTACCAAAAGCAAGACAAAATGGACGCAAGCAACGCTGCTTACCTATTTGAACAGCTCAGTGAAGAAGACAAGCGACACTTGGCCAGCCTCTCAAAAGCCGATATCAGAAAATTGGCGCTTCTGGCCACAATTCGCCTGTTTTCTCGCGGGATTAGTGTTATGCCTACCCCCATAGAAGCGCAGCCAATTCCGGGCACCGACGTGGCCGTACCTTCAGACAATCTCGACACCCAGGACCACCCAGAACAAGGCAATTTCTGCAATGATTCCACATGCCCTTGCAACTCCATCAATTCCCCTGGTGTCCCCTCCGACCCCGCCGACCGCTCTGCTCCCCAAGAAGCGCTTCACGGGTTCATCTTTGGTGGCAATCCAATGTTCCGGACTGATCATCAGCTTTGCGCGGATCATGCTCGCATGTGTAGAAGTGAGTACTGGTCTGAGTCAGAAGAGTCGTCAAACTCGGGAGAGTCACTCGAGGATGATAGTGAGACGGAAGAACTCGAAGAGCCCGTCAGAATTTCGGTAGATGATTACATCTATCTCGATGAGGATGGAAACGAGCTGGACTCTGAGGGGCCTGGGCTGTCGGATTTGAGATACGACTTTGAGGGTATGGTCTGCTCAACCGAGGGAAACGAAAACAAAGGGTAAGGCTATGAAGATGGCTGAACGCGCCCTGGCAGGGGGGTGACCGTAGAGCGAGCGTCCATGTTGCAGGGCACTTAGTATTTAGGGGACGTAAAGAGTAGAAGTAGTAATGATTGCATGAAACTAGCTTTCATGACCTCAATTTCCTTGTAAGTTTCTCGTTCCCTTCCTGTGTATTGGGGCCCCAAGAGGGCTGTGAGCGTACAGGGCTAGATGCCTTTAGAAATGATGGCTCGAGGGGACGCGCCCATAGCCTCCTCAAATCACATGACAATCTGATGAGGACGTGGACCTTTTGGCCAATAGGGCTCAGGGTGTTAGGTGTCGAGGCTGTAGAACTATTCACCCTTGACTTAAGTAAATATCCGAGAGATATAATTGCCCCGTAGGACGATGAGAATGGCTAATAAAGTAAAGTAACTCTCGGCAGTTCGCACTTCGGGAAATCGGGTTGATGGTATCATCAAAGCAGGTAATCATTTTGGATATCTATGCAACCGGACCACATAACTCCCATTGCCGTATCCATCTCACGCTAGAGGAGCTACTTTGCAGAGGTAGCTAATAAAACACGAGCAACACGAGGAAACCACGCCTCGAGGCCCAATAATGTACAAGAGTCCCGAAATCCGCCGTCGCTTTCCCTCCGAAAGATGGCGCAAATGGGCACCAGAATGAATCATACAGAAGGCTCGCTCTTGACGGCTTCTTGGGCACCAACACCCTCCACGGTACCACCGCAGAGCTGGGCTAACAAAAGATCGTCCACATCAGCTATAGCCGAGTCTGCAAACGGGTCGTCACTTTCGCCCACGCCGGGAGTATTTGCGGAATCTGCGCCTGCGTCCTGGCTAGGTCTGGCGAAGCGTTTGGCTGTCTGCTCCAGCTTATGGTACATCTCTGCGCGAAGCAGTCGCTCAGCACGGGAGAGGCCGGTAGGCTTGGGATCCTTGTCGACACCGATGAGGACATGCAGATAGTCGCGGGCGAGCAGGCTATAGATGTCTTGAACTTGCGTAGTCAATTCGTCCTGAAGTCGTCGGCATAACGCCTCAAGCTGCTCCTTGACGCTATCAGTGGAGTAGCGGAACATGGTAGCGCTGGAGGTCTCGACGTGGCTGACCATATGATTCTTCATGCGAGCGTAAGAGCCAGGGCCTATTGGTAGTTAGTTGACGGATACCTGGAAACAAGCGGTGGCAGGCTGGCTTACCTGACTCGGCGACACAAATGTCGTAAGCCGGCTGCATTTCCCGCTGAACAACAGGGTGGAAGCCGCGGCTAGCCTCACGCTGCAACTCTTGGACGACTGTGCGAAGTGTCCCAGGGATCTCTCTGAGACGGGCGGTGTGAGCTCGCAGCTGCGTACTGAGCATGTTGATGCCGTTGTAATCGGCACCCAGTTCTTGGGATCGTGCAATGACGCTGCCATGGAAGCCCTCTAGTAGAAGGCGAGCGCTCATAGCTCATAGCGAAGCCCTCAAAGGCCGATGGCAGTCGACGTTGGAAAGCCCGTTCCCAACCACTCGCTAGCTGTCGAGAGATCGGCTCGAGCAGCTCTGCGTTGAAGTCGCGAGGACCAGATGCGCCCGAATAAACTCCCGACCGGCGACATGTTGCCTTGTACGTGGCCCAAAACATTCCACCTTCGCTGCGATGGGCACCCCAGCCGGATGCCGTAGGGCCAGCCGCGCTGGCTGCCATAGGAATCGATAGGTCAAAGTAGTCGTAGATGCTCTCCGACAGGGCGTCTTTCACGGAAACGATGCAGTTATCGACAGCTTTGGCGAAGTCCTGTCGCGTGTCAGTCAAGGGGTATAACATGAGAATGAGTGGGAACTCACATTGTCCAGTGTAGCAAGCTGCATTCGCACACGGGTGCCCTCACTCTGCAACTCTCGTTGGCTTAAGTGAGACCGCGATCCATCGTTGGCAGCCCACATCTTCATTGAGTTGAGGAGTTGGCTGAGTTCGGTGAGGAAGCGACGGCCACCAGCAGCGCGGCCGCCTTCGGTGAGCTTCTTAGCGTGCTGCTGAAGTTGAGGAACCTCTGTTTCGTTGACATCCCGGAAGCCATCATTGTTGAAATCATCCTTCTGCAACCGTCCCCGCATCTTCTGGTAAGCGCGGCTGCTCACACAGAAGACGGGCAGGTTGCGGGCGACCTCGTCATAGTCACGGATATCCTCGTCGGGATTGAATGTTTCTTCGTCTTCCTCGATTGCAGCCTCTTGATCCAGCCTACGCAAGTTAGCCTGTGTTCATTTCGGCGAGGCCCCAAATTGACGTACTCCTTGATACCCATGGCAAAGTCACGCTGAATGGCGCCTTTGGAGTAGTTGTTTCTCCCCTGGATACACACCGCCTTGGCTGCCCCAAGCAGCCGCTCTTCCTCTGCCTGAATACTCTTGATTTCCTGCCGCATGTTGGACAGCGCGGCATCCACCTCCTTGCGTCGCTGTCGGATTTCCTTCTTCTGGTTCTTCAGATCCGCCAGCTTCTCATGGATCTTATCCTCTGTTAAAGGCTGCCGGTTTTGGCTGTCGGGGTCGTTTTCCTTATCACTATCCGAGTTGTAGTCCGAATCATCTGACTCGCTGCTACTGGAGTAAGATGACTTGCGTTTCCGGCTCTTGGATGTGGTAGCTCCACGTTTGCGTTTCTTGCTCTCTGAGGGGGCGAAGACGGTCTTTCCATCCGCATATTTACTGGCGAGGTCGTCCCACTTGTCCCAAAGCGTGTCAATTTGCTCCAGGCCGTCGACGAGGTCCGACTTCTCTTCCCTGGCGTCATTGAGCTTTCGCTTGAGTTCTCGAAGTTCGCCCCGTAGCTTCTCGATCTTGGACCAAGAAGCAGAGATATCAGACTCAATATCAAGACTTTCAGCAGCCTCAGTCACTGAGATGTCATCTGTTTTCGAGCAGATGAACGTAACAGCCGAGTAGATACCATCGTACTTGAGTTGGCGCTTGAACGAATCACCCAGGAGTGACTTGGCTGTCTTGTCGTCGACGGCTCTGTTGATAGGAGCAACAATCCAAAGACCGGTGCATGCCTTCATGTAGTTCTGTGCGACCGCAGCACGAGCTGCGTTGGAGTCCTGGACACCAGGAAGATCGACAATGACGGCACCAGTAGATAGGGCGTTTGCCTTTGTAAATATCCGGACAACTTTGATCAGGGGCCAGAACTCCATGGGAACGTCCTTCTTGTGCGGGTTCTTCTCCTTGCTATCCACATAGCGCTGCATGCTTGCGTACAAGTCCTTCGCGGTGGTTGCTCGCAGCTTCTTGACGCTGCCAAGAACACGGGCGACAGCAGGCTCATTGACCAAACGGTCAGGGTCGCTCTGAGCAATCATCTCTTTTGTTTTATTAGGGTAGACAGACTTTATCTTGGCGTAGGCGATGCCTGCCTCGCTGTCTTCGTTAGAGCATTCGCGTGAAATGTTCCCGCTATCGTCGAGAAGATCAGTGAATAGAATCTTGAGCTCCTTCTTCCAGTCCTCGACGGAAATGAACTCAATCTCTGAGCGATAGAGCTCCTCGGGGTTCTCGGAGTCGTTATAGGAGATCTCAGTGGGCGAAGCGGTACAGGCGCGCAAGCAGTTGGTCGGTAAAAGTCGCTCCTCGTCGAGCAGGGCGTTGATGACAGAGCTCTTGCCAGCACCTGTGTTGCCCACGACGCCAACAATGGTTTTGGACGGCCGAGAGCGGGCCTTGAGGTCCTCAATTGCCCTGACCCATGTCATAGCCTGCGTGCCTGGGAGAGAAGCGGTGAGGCTGAGGGGAACCTTGAGGCTTTCGAGGACCTCTAAGCCGATCTTGACGCCTTGTTCAAGTATCTCAGGGGAGGTTTCTGTTGTCCATTGCTCCAGGAAATCGGGGACTTCATCTTGGGCGGTAGATTGCTCAGGTTCTTCGACAGAAGTTAGACCTTCGTTGGTTGGGCTGGCGGGGTTGAGAACGGGGTCGGCTTGCTCTTCCTTGACGACTGCCGCAGAGCCCGGTTCAGGCTTGATATGAGGAAGAGAAGCATTGGGTTGGGCAGTTGCTAAAGATGGGACAGCGGTAGATGCTGAAGGATTTGAACTTCCTGCCGCCTGCTGTAGGACCGTATCGGGGACCCTGGGCAGTTCGTGCAAGTTGACATTCGGCGGCTCGGCCTTGACGCCCTCCATCTTAATTCGGGGCATCGTCAGGTTGGTGGTGAGTGGCGTGAAAGGTGACTAAGCCAATGTGGTCGACATGTGAGGCAAGCTACCGTAGGTCGACACTACAGAAGCTAAGGCCGAAGTGCAGGTGATGTTGACCGAGAATCTGATTCATGGAGTTCTGTGCACGAGCGAGCCTAGATGTCGTCAAGCAGCCCTAGACGGATCGTGGCGGTTTAGACAGTCGTAATTATTGAGACGCGACGGGACGAGAAGCAATTAGTTTTCGCGTCTTGGGCTTGGGCGGGGCAGGAACACCTCTGGAAGGATGGAAGTCGCCATCCCTGTACGTACCCCTGTCGTCCCACGCAGGAAGGGGCCCCTTCCCATGATTGCTTCGGCAGTGGCAGATCACGTGCCCTCATCCATCTCAATAGGTACGTGATTGATTGGTCAATGGCCCAGGGCGGGTCGTGGCTTCCTGCTATTGTCGAACTCGGAATGCCGTCGCAACGGACGTGTACTTTCCGCTGCGAGTTCTGCTCATCTGAACAGCAGGTCAACAAATGGAAGGTAAACCCCGGACAGAGACAGCAGGAAAGTGCTCAGGGTCTGAGGCTCTGCTCGAAATACAAGGCAGGATGCAAGATCAGCTACAAATCATTGCCAAGGACTTCAGTGAGGGACGAGAAGGATCCAATCAGGTAACACACTGTCACAATCGTATTGATGACATGAGATTTCATCTTTCTCAGCATGATACGCATACCGAAAAAGCCTGTAAAGTCAAGCAGGCACACAGCAGATGTGCTACCCCGAACGCGAGGTCCTCGGCATCCCACTTAGAATTCGGTGAGCCTCGGTGTAACCGGTGTACGGTAAGGCGTCTGACTCGCGACCTCCCCAATTCGTATTCGGTGTTGCCGAGGCGCAATCCAAATTCCTCACGATCTCCTTGTTTTTCCGTTCCGCAGGTTGATTTCTCCAGCATTTTGTCTTGGCCCAGCCCATGTGAGGATTTTTGGATAAAAACTCAATTGTTGCCAGATTTGTCTGAGACAAGTGACGATCATCAGCCCTCAGTCCTCACCGACGATAACGCCGCTTTCCCCACCTCCGCTCGTTCTCGCCCTTGCCCCGTCTCAGCCTCCCCTCGCTATCCACACAACAAGCTTTCAACAACACCTCATCAGCCACCAGCCTCACCTCACCCTTATTTACCTCCCTCAAAGACCACATCATTCCAACAATGGGCTTCATCGGCGCGACGGCAGCAGGCCTCATGGCCGGCCTCCACGGCTACATCCTCGTCCTGGAAATGTTCCTCTGGACCTCGCCCCGCGGCCGCAAGGCCTTCAACCTCACCGCCGACTTTGCCGAGAAGACAAAGACCCTGGCCGCCAACCAGGGCCTCTACAACGGCTTCCTGTCCGCCGGTCTCGCCTGGGGCATCGCTCACCCCGTCCCCGAGTTCGGGCGCCAGCTCCAGCTCTTCTTCCTCGGCTGCATCGTCGCGGCCGGCGCGTACGGCGGCGCCACGGCGAACCCGCACATCTTCTTCATCCAGGCCGTTCCCGCACTGGCTTCCATCGGTGCCGTTCTTTCGGGCTACTAAGATTGCAGACAGGCAGGTGGTGATTTGTTTTGGTTTGGAGGAAGCTGAGGCTGACTGATGAGTGAGACAGTGGCGTAGTGGGAGGTCCGACTTTGTGTAACCTGACGAAGCTGCTGCCCTTGGGAGAGGATGGAGATATCGTCTTGAATTATCTACTGTATTAACTACTAGCGACTACCTGATAGAAAGCAATGGCCATTCGATGATTTTCGCAACGCTGCAGTATGATGAGTAGGTACCGTGCTAACGGTAGAGCCAAGGCATCAAAGCTCTTCCTTTTCACCCCGCCTCCGTCTCTCCTCGGCTCTGAGCTCTTCCTGGTAAGCCGCCTGCTTGTCCGTCCTCTCCTTTCTGATGCGGGACTCCTCCCTGAAGGCCTCCATCTCCTTCAAGTGATCCGTCTCAGTGTACTCCTTCACTTGCTCATCCGGGTTGACCCAGTCGTAAGGGACACGCTCCGTAATGAGATCACGGTAGACAGGCTTGAACCCCGGGTTGCCCGCCAGCTTTCCTCCCTCGACATTGCGTCCGGCCTTGATGACACCGTCACTGAACAGCGATTCCCAGAAACCGCGCTGCTTCTCCGTGTCCGTGTGTACCGGCGCCCAGGCCATCGGTTTGGGCGGGTGGTCCTTGAGGTACGATACCGCGCGATCCCTGCGCTTGCGATAGGCCTTGTACCTGGCTTCCGCATCTGTTTTCTGTGCGGGAGTCAAGTCCAGCTTGGATGAACCGGCTTTTTGTCCTGATGCGCTGCCTTGTCTGGCAGCCAGCGGCGGAAGACAAGTTGTGTCGAACCGAGCTTCCCATCGCTCTGGTTTGTCGCTGGCCCCAGCGAGCGCCGACCAGTGACCGTGAAGCGTCTTGGCACGCTCATGTAAGTCGTGGGGCTCTTCTGGGATAGGACTATGATGTCCGCCACGATTGGCAATGGCCATGATGGTCCTGTCGACGCCGGTCTCTTGGATGACTAGCCAAGTGACATCTTGCCGCGTCTCCAGGTTGCGTAGCATGGCAGAGTACGTGTCGTAATCGTCACCCGGGAGCGAGGTCGGGAGCATGCCGTCCCGGAGCGTGTCGCTGATGAGGAGCACCTCCCGGATGGTTGAGTGAACGGCCGAGTCAGTCGGAAGGTCCCGCCAGGGATTTGTGGCTGCGTAGTCTTCTTGACCCGGCTTGGATGAGTCCAATAAGAATGCCCTGATGAGATAGAGGCCGACGCCAAAGAGGGCGAAGAACCTCACTTGTCGACTTTTGAAGAATGCGATGAACATTCGTTTAGGAGCGCCATGGTCGGCAAAATCTTGGGGTAGCAGTCCGGACTGCGACATCTTCATCTGTAGCGAGTCAATTACTTCAATCTTGTCTTCCTCTGTCGTTGAAATTGATGAGATGTCGTTCGACAAGCTCATACCGTGCGGACGAAACGCTGGGGAAGGAGTCCGTGATAAGACTGGACTTAAAGTCTAAAAAGGAGCTGTCTGAGCTTCCAGGTTTGAGATGACTAGGCAGGCAATCTAACACTAGCGTGTCGGAGCCGGCTCGGCCGATACAACGTGATGGGAATCATGATAATCACTATTCAGATCTCACAAGAATGGAGTTTAGATGACAAGGCATGCGTGGGAGCTGCAGCACGTGGGAAGGGCAGGATAGCGCTGCTCATTCATGGGAGATTTATGATCTGCTAAACGTGGGTTTGAGTCGCGGTGTCGCCTGGATGGAACCTTCTCACAGCATATCATTCGATAACTGGCTGCGGTTAAGAGGGTTGCTCAGAGAATCTATTTGCGGCGACTGAGTAATGTTGAGGCTGATGAGAACACCATGAGGTCGTCTCAACGTACGAGCATGACGTTCGCGCGTCGCACCAGGAAGGTGAGAATATCGCAGGAACGAGGGGCAACCAAACATTAACGTCGTCTCGTTTTCTGGCGTGTGATCGTCTCCTCGTTTGGTTTGTGCCTGAGCAGAAACGGCTGCCATTAAGATACCGTTTGACCGCATGAAACAGACCAGAATGTTTAAACTCTCCCTTGAACTTGTTCCAACCCTCTTGGCCAATGAGGCTAATGGAGGGGGTTAGGGATGCGAGTCGTGGTGAGGTAAGACTGGGGAGCGAGACATGAGATGAGATGAGGAGGCGGGCGACGTGGAGACTGAGTGAGTGAGTGAGTGAGTGCATGAGCATGAGTGAACAGGTAAGAGACTAGGAGGTATTGGATGAGATGCGGATACCCGGAAGGGCTGGACTGTGAGTGGCATTCCTTTTTTTGTCTTCTTCCTTTTGGCAAGCGTGTTCTCTCTCGCTTATTACGCAGTGGTTTTCTTCTGCGGGTACGACAACCTGGAATTGAGAATGCTGCCCTTTCATGTCAACTTTGGTCAAGAAACCCGACTCATCTTACTGATCGTCGCCCGACAGCTCTTAAGAGGGAAAGGAAAGATGAGAAGCTAAGATAGGCAGAGAGGCCGAGTTTAGTGTAAAAGGTCAGTGAGCTCTAGGGGATGACCCCTGAAAAGTTTAGCCAGATTTTAGCATCCGATCCAAGTGCGAATCCCAGCCCAAGCCCTGCAGCAAAGCCCGATGGCTCGAGGTTGGACTGCCCTGTATGGGGTGACTGGCTGCCCTGCCTTAATTGTCCGAGCTCTTGCCCTGCGTTCAACGTCAGTGTGGACGCCCCCAGGGTGGGGTCACGTGTGACGCACGTGATGCAACCATCGTCATTGCTGTCTTGCAGCACAGCTCCGGCCTGACAATTGGTGGAAGGTGCCTGCCTCACTAAGGTAGGCACCTTGGGTACCTTGGGTTGCTGGAGTAGGTAGGGTATCACAAACTGAAAATGGAAGGCAGCGAGGGGAAACGGCAAAGGCAACAAGTCAGCAGGAGCACTGCATTAAAGCACGAAAACAGGCAGTAGCTGCGTAGCATTATGTACCTGAATATTAATCTGTACCTTCCTCGAACACAAGGCCAAGTCTCCAACGTCATCCGCTCTTACCTTCCTTTCCCCGGTACTTCCATCCAGAAAAACGTGTGGCCGGGACCGGATAAACCACGGGCAACACCTTTTGGGGGCTTAGCGGCTGTCCCGTCCCCACAGTTCCTCCCTGGTCCACACCATCGTGGGTCCTTCCTAGCTGGCAATTTTCCTTTCAAACCTTTGATTTTTTCGACGAGACAGCTCACCCTCCTCACCCACCCTCGCACGACGAACCGCATACGCTCGCGAACCGACCTCTCGGTATCTCGATCAATCCATCGTTTAGCAAGCCTGACATCAGCTACCTGCATCTCGCATCACTTCACGTGTATCATCATCTACAGCCAGTCGCGCGCCGACACACCCACAACTCAATTACAGAATCCCTTTCGTGACCTGTCCACGAGAGATCGATCAGCAACTACCGAACCACCAAAAAAATACCACCACCCCTGCGCGCTGTTTGCACACCCCCAGACACTTGCTCATCGCCAGATATCTACTTTGCGCATAATTAACCATGCCTTCGAATCTACCATCAAGCTTCGCCTCGGCCGCCGCCGGCCAAAACGCCAACCGCGACGCGAGAGGCGGTCGACAGGACGGACGTGGAGCTGGCAGCGGGGAATGGTTAGTGACTTTCCGCATTTCGCCCAACAACCCCCATCGCTGCCCTGCTATTTCCTTTGCTTTCTGTTTGCGTCTGGAGATGATGGAGAAAAGTTGGGATTCGCGTGATATTGGTGATGGTGACTCTATAGACCGCCACCTCGTTGGATTC